TGTAACAATATATAAAGTCCCTAAAAGTACGCTCCATGGCCGACGCGCTAGAGTACTCCCATAACGCGATTCTAAGCCCAATTTAAAGAAGCTCAATAAGCTAGAAGAGGAGGTGATTACTAGGCATATCCTTAACCTAGATTCGCGAGGGTTTTCGCCAACCCTAGGTGCTATTCGAGATATGGCGAATAGACTACTCGCTGAGCGCGGCACTGGCTAGGTAGGCAAGAAGTAGCCACGCAACTTTATTAAGTGGACAGAAAGCCTTACCACACATTTTAATCGACCATATAATCGACAGAGAGCTCTATATGAGGATCCTAAGGTAATTAGGGCGTAGTTCAACCTTATAGCGCGCATAAAAGCTACCTATAGGATCTATAATAAAGATACCTACAACTTCGATAAGACTGGCTTTATAATGGGCAGGATATTAGCTCAGCTCGTTATTATAGGCTCAGAACGACGAGGTAGGCTAAAAGTAATATAGCCAGGTGATCGTGAGTGGGTTACTATAATTCATGGAATTAACGCCACTAGCTGGGCTATCCCACCCTTTATTATCTTTACTAGCCAGTATCACCTCTCTACCTGGTACAAGGATAACGAGATACTATATAACTGGGCTTTTACTGTCAGCAATAATGGCTGGATAATAAATGAGCTTAGAGTAGAGTGGCTAAGGCACTTTATTAAGCATATAGTAGAGCGTAGAGTAGGTACACGCTAGCTACTTATACTTAATAACCATGAGAGTTATAACTCACTTAAATTTCAAGCACTTTATAAGGAGAATAACATCTATACTCTCTATATACTATCACATTCATCGCACCTCCTATAGCCACTTAATATTGGCTACTTCTCGCCGTTGAAGCGCGCATATAGCCGCTAGATTAAGGGCCTAATTCGCGATTACATTAACCATATCACGAAGCTAGAGTTCCTACCAGCCTTCTACGCAGCCTATAAGTAGTCTATTATAAAGGAGAATATCTACGCAAGCTTTTAAGGCACTGGCCTAGTACCACATAATCCTAATAGGGTGATAGTGAAGCTTAATATAAAGCTTTATACGCCAACACCGCCTACACTAGAGACTACCCTCTAGGAAGTGCAAACACCAAGTAATACGCATAAGCTAGAGGCTCAATTAACATTAATACGCGATAGGATATAGAGGCATGGAAGCTCATCACCTACATCTATTATTAAGAGACTTAATTAGCTTAAGAAAGGCTCTACAATGGTAATACATGAAATAGCATTAATACGCAATTGGATCAAGAGCCTTAAGAAAGTAAATGAGACTACTATAACGCATAGAAGGCGTAAAAAGAAGTATATTTAGCAGTAAGGCACCCTATTAAAGGCAGAGGCAGAGGAAATTATAGCTTAAAATGAGGTTGAGTAGTAGCTTAAGGGGGAAACGCGTTAAGGTAGGGCGCGATTAGGTATAAGTTGGCAGGCTTTAGCGCGCTATAGGCGCTATAGGGAGACTGGCCATAACTCATAAACATGTAAGAAGGACACTAGAGATGCCACTTAATTTAGTATAGTAATTATATTCCATTATCTTATTGTGTTGTTGAGATATACCACTATAGAGGTATAAAAGTCGAGTGGGGTATGCAGCTCGCTTGCCTACGTAGCTTACTTGCCGGGTATGTTAGAGAGTAATATTAAGGTAAGCTTCTAAGGCGCTAGTATAGTCCTATATAACTTAGATATAGTGCTCTTAAAGCTTAATATACAACTACGTACGCCTATACCAGCTCTACTAGAGGCCACTATATAGGAAGCCAAAATACTAAGCAACGCGCACGAGCTAGAGGTATAATT